ATACTAGAATGAGGTGATACTATTCACAATTAGAAAGGGCCCCTGAGAACGCAGTCCTACACCAAGGACCCTGAAGTGGTAAAGTGTGGTAGGGTGGAGGCATCCACAGAACAAGGTCAAGGTCATCGGCCCTGTTTCACCATGGCGAAGGAACTTTTTAAAAAATCTTGGATCCAGATGACGATCCTGATATCTGAGCACCTCCAAAATCTAATAATTTCTGGGCTACCCTAAAAAAAGGCCATTTATATCCATGCATCCATACCTTTTTCGGTTAGGGAGCTGACAAACAAACAAAATATCAAACAAACAAAAAGACAGACAGTCAGGCAGACGGACAGACAGACAGACAGACGGAAGTGAAAACATAACCACCCTGGTATTTCCATAATGATCATTATGATCATTATTCCAGTCTTGACCTCTGCGTGGTAGAGAAAGCACAGCAGGTGGTGAGCGAATGGATTGTACATTTAAAGGGATAATAACTGTTCGTTTTGGCGAAAAAAAATGAATTTTCCCGGAGTAAACAACAATTTTTCCATACTTACCAATGGTTAACTAATCCATTTCTACATTCGAGGTTAGTCCCTTTTTTTTTTTTTTTTTTTTTTTTTTTATGTTATAATCTCTTAAGAGATAATTACAGAGTATAGCCATCTATGGAGGTCACGTGGTCTGATGACAAGCTCAGATATCAGAATAATAGCTATAACTGCCTTTTTTGTGGAATATATTATATTTTTATGAGTTGTTTAAAATGTTTTAAATGTGAAATATAGATCTCATACCAATAATTATTATCTCTTTAAATAGGAGGTTGTTGGATGTGACCTACAATATTGCAAACATATCACCTGTTTTATTTCTATAGAAGGCAAAATATCAAGATACAAATCAAAATGACTTAATGTGCTGATGATATAATACTGATATACTGTGGAATTATATTTAATGTTTTTTATCAAAAATAAGCCGTATGATAACTTCATTATTAAATAGATTATTTTAATACCTGTGATTTTCACCCTAAATATCTCATCTATGGAGAGAGAGAGAGAGAGAGAGAGAGAGAGAGAGAGATTTGCTGAATAATTTATATTATTATCACAAACTGTTGTATTTATCATCAAATAATTGCGTGTACTGTAACTCAAATGGTTCCGACATGACTCCAGAGCCGACTGGGTCTGATCTTCCACTTCACGTGTACAGAGGAGCTAATAAACAACCTCACATCTTCACTTCCGAGTCTTATTTATTTATTTATTTATTTATTTATTTTCATTATCCACGGTATTATACCGCTGATTTGGTAGCACAAGTAGTCTGAATGGTACAAGAATAATAATTCCGATTAAAAAAAGCCCAGTGCCGTGTTTATCGTTACACAACTACTGTACATGTACATGTAACCGTGAAAATATTAATTACTTGACATTTATAAGATTAGAAATTCTGAGTTAAGTAATCTGTCACTATTTAGAACCATAGGTTTAGTGTTCTATCACCACTGAGCATACTGAGCAGTTACCCCACCCTACAGTACAGTATAAATAGTCACCCCGATCTGACTGTAGAGGGCGATCTCATCCTAAGCACATGTAGGAAAACAAGGACCGAAGACCCTACCAGTAAGTCTGAAATACAGGCACTCCGTCACTGGAACGACTGTGAGCACTGTATTAATGAGGTGCTTTGCTCTACCTAAATTACCTGTAGGTGACCCTACTCATGGACGGATTGAGGCCGTCTTCTGGGTCTTCTGGTAGACAGTCAGTTTTTCAATTTTACAAATTACAATTTAATTTATTTTTTGATTGGTATCTTATTTTTCTGTCGGAAGACGGTCAAAAATGGAGGATTGATCAAAAAAGAAGATTTGGAAAATATCTCTGGATCAGCCCCTGCTACTGTACCTATGTAACAATACAGTGTATTTTGGAAGAAATAAAGTATTGTTATAGGGAAACTATTTCCTCTCCCTCTGTGTGTTATCATACACCGCGCCGTTACAAAGTGGCACTCGCCGTTACAGTATAAATGGGCACTTTACATACACTTAATCTAATGAGAAGCGATATGTGTGCCACAGTGACTTCAGGCGATTTGCATACTAATTGTTGTGCAATATCAACAGGTAAGGATTTTCACAGACGCAGCTATCCCAGGCATACCGACCAGTGCGGAGGTGTTAATATAAAAGTGAATGATAAAAATCTATTTCAAGACAGGAAGAAATTAAGTGATAAGATATTGGCAAAACATGTTATTGGGGGTGGGGGGTGGGGGTGTCATCATCTGAAACCAGTCGAGATACGCGTATGCAAACTATAGATAGAATTGTTTTGTTGAATTATTCTATAAGACACCTTCGCTGTATGCACTTCGCTCATATGCACTTTAGATGTTGTTTGTGTTCTTTTCAATTTTCTTATTATTGTGTTATTTGATAAGTTAGGACAGCAGCGAATGCAGATTGTAAAAGTGGCTGTGGTATTTTGTGTTGTTACTTAAACCACGCCTACTTGTACTCTCCTAGCAACCACCCTGTTTTAACTGGCAACATTAAGTGCAGCCATGTACATACACGCCTAGCTGGACAGTACATTAAGATATCTGCATGTATAATGAAATGCGCTAATACAAAAATAGATACTTATCATAATAACATCCTTCATCTAGTTATTCACTAGTGCCGCATACAAAACCCTGCATTTATGCTCCCGCAATTATGTTCCCCGTACAATGTTTGTAGATAGCCGACCTTCACTTCTCTCTGTCTGCCATGTTTACGCACACTAGTTACGGAATCAATATCAGTGAGTGATATTTACAATAGCCTCTATAGATGTATCCACTTGGGAGTTAATAAGCACTGAGACTATCATGCAGTGACTATGCTTATTCGTGAAATGGAATGACGAAGTGCTCACAGAATATCTACAAATATGAAAATAGTTTTGTTCTTCGTTGCCTTCACTGTTGTGAATTTATTTTGGATTGTAGCAGTCCACCGGGCGATATTAAGGTATGTCAGGTACATGTGTGCGTGATTCTAAATGAAAGATTTTGAAATATTTTTGAACGGACTATAAATTCCATTAATTAGGGTGGTAATCAATTCGATAATGTTTTCAATGCTCATTTTACTTTTGATGACGTTCAAATACAAGACAAATGTTTTTTTCTTCAAAAATGTTCTGGCAACGACCAACGATTTTTCAAGCTTTAAAGTAAGACTCTAAAACCAAGGAGTTATAACAGAAGGAGATTACACGCAAGCCTTTCTATTGTCCGATGTCTGTTACGGTGGGCGGAGCTAGCTACGGGGGGCNATTCTGACCAATGAGAGACCGTAATACGGGCTCCGCCCCCACGCGTGTAATCTCCTTCTGTTATAACTCCTTGCTAAAACTAACCCCTCTTAACTGATGAAAAAAACGTCCAAATTCATTACAGATATGTGAACAATGTCTTTGCAAAGGGGAGTGAAGAAACGGTTGCCAAATCTTTGGACATCTGCCAAGTAACCCAGGAAAATTTAGGTAAGGACAAGAACAGGTTAGGGCCCTATAAATACAGAGGCGCTCTTGGGATATTTTTCTTTGTAACTACGCGGTATATGTACTTGGTTCTTTGTACTTATAAAGGAAAGCAAGTACAGCGTGCACTGTGTGATAAACCTCTCAGTGGACATTCAATTGGCAGATACTAATGCAGAAGCATATTGGAGGTACTTTGGGTTCTAGATTCCGGTATTGCCAGCTCGATCTTGATTTCATATATAAGTAACCCATATCAGCAATACCACTGTGAAGCTCTCGCGTCAAAACGTTTCATTAGTTAACAATCTAGCTTCCCAGTGGTCCTGACACTCAGGGTAATTGGAGGCGTCTCAAACAACATACAGATAGGGTTAATCTACACTCTACCAAGGCGACAGATTGATTTTTTTGGCAGATATGTCTCTAGATGAATAGACAGTCATTTTGGTCTGATGTCGCCTCAGCAGAAAATGTCCACAATAATAACTGCGGTCCTGGTAGAGGGGGGGGGGTTAATCAACGTGTCGTCAAAACGGATTGAGTAAAATATCAATTTCTAGTGACTTTTTTGCATATTCCGTTTAATACATACTGACTAAAGATATACAAGAGCTTTTTCAATTTTAGAAAGTGCATTTGATGTTCAACTGACACTTTTGCCAACGCCAAATAGAACGGAGCTGTTTAAAGAGGTCGCCACCGGAGGCCTATGGGCACCTATGTCATGCAAGCCTAGGGACCACGTGGCCATCATCATTCCTTACCGTGACAGACAAGAACATCTAGATATTCTCCTCCAAAATCTGCACCCTTTTCTACAAAGCCAGAAGTGTCACTACCAGATATTTGTCGTTGAACAGGTCGATTGTTTAATGTCCATTATTTCCTACTTCTCTCTCTTTCTTTCTCTCTCGCTCTCTGTCAGTAAAGAACTTCGGTTGCCTCATAAAGTGTAGTAGTAGTACATGTAGTAGTAGCAGCAGTAGTATAATTTTTACATAAAAAAGTAATTTTTTATTCATCCTCGGCACTTTTATATTTCTACAGGCGCTTCCAGAGCCCTATAACCTAGGGTATACCAGAAATGTAGGATTCGTTGAGGCCAGTGCCGTGTTTAATTTCACCTGCTACATATTTCACGACGTGGATAAAATCCCTATGAACAATTCACTGCTCTATAGATGCCCGCCTGACAGAGTTCTTCATTTGGCCTCCGCTGAGGACAGGAATCAGTACGAGTCTGTGTCAATTATTAATTACACAAGTTAACTCTCTCTCTCTCTCTCTCTCTCTCTCTCTCTCTCTCATTATAATCTGACCAATCTTCTCCATATAAATCATGAAGTACATTTCGACTTCGATATTGTCATACCGATCGCTATTTTTATGCAATTATTGCTTTCACTGAAATTTGCCATGATGACATTGAAAAGAAGAACGGTGTTGTTGTAATACTTATTAGTAATAACGTCAATATGTGCATTTGTGAGCTTTGCTGTCTAGTAATCTATTTGTTTTTATANACACAAGTTAACTCTCTCTCTCTCTCTCTCTCTCTCTCTCTCTCTCTCATTATAATCTGACCAATCTTCTCCATATAAATCATGAAGTACATTTCGACTTCGATATTGTCATACCGATCGCTATTTTTATGCAATTATTGCTTTCACTGAAATTTGCCATGATGACATTGAAAAGAAGAACGGTGTTGTTGTAATACTTATTAGTAATAACGTCAATATGTGCATTTGTGAGCTTTGCTGTCTAGTAATCTATTTGTTTTTATATTCTCTCTTTGTGATCGAAATCTTTTATTTGGTCACAGAGCTGGGGGCAGGCCTAGCTAGAACGTGTAAATGATAGCTATACATTATCACATGGATAATCATTTGTTTAGCTTAAATGCTGTGTTTTAGCCTGATGTACCCAAACTACATTGGAGGAGTTATTGGGACCGCCCCTGACACATTCAAGAAGCTAAACGGGTTTCCTAATAATTACATAAGATGGGGCGGGGAGGACGACGATTTTTTTCAAAGGTAAGTTGAATATCTAACTTAAATGGGCATCCTTATTGATTTTATGCCAGAATCGCTTTATGATTGATCAAAGTGATGCTCCTAAACCCCAAGGCGGGTTGCTGATATAAACAAGCCAGGTACGGTATATTGGATCAGTCTCCATGGCGCAACACAGGTGCCTTATGCACAGCTTTAATACTTATGCACCGATTTAGCGAGCCTTCCGACGCATCCTTAGACCGGCGATTTACGCGGAAAAATTGGCCGTACGGTCGCCCTTAATGGAAGTCAACCATCCAGTTCAGGAATGATACATATACCTTTCGTTCTCCTCGAAAAAGCATCACCGATGTCATATGTGTGTTTCTGTTACCTTGCTTACGACGTTGACCTTTAACTGTCACTGCGGTCAATGGCGGAAAGTTTGAAGGTCCAAGGACCAAGCCCCTTCTTTTCACGAGCCAATAGACCGATATCTTGACTGCAGATGACTCTTAATATGATCGCACAGTGTGAATAGATGTATTGTTGATTGCAAAATACTGCAACTGAAAAAGTTACTTCATTGCCCTCAGCAATGGTTTCGTCTCTCAGAACTTCAAACAGTTGTTGCCATACCTTTAAATGATGCGTAAGAAAACGTCATTCTAAACGGCAATCGTGAGAAACTAAACGCATCTATGATATTTTTTTTTTTTTTTTTTTTTTTTTGCTTTCAGTCACCGTGTTGTTTTGCAGATCCCAGACAGGTCACATCAATAGAGACGCAGCTGAAGTCGGTGACATTTTATCCCGTTGCAAATCATCTTTAAAAAAAGCGATCTTGTTTTTCTAGGAGTGTCTCTCAAAAAGTTCCCATTGAGCATGCCCACACACAATTAGGAATGTACAGGGTTTTAAACCACACGCGTCCACCTGGCTACGACAACAAGGAGAAGTAAGTTATTATTTATAATAGTGTGAAAGGACAGGGAAGAATGGGGTTATGTATGTATAATTGACTATTTTTTCAATTCTATGTTTTTATTTGTGGTTTGACACTACTTTTTGCGACAGATTAAATGGCTCCATTTAGAAAAACTTTTTAAAACATTTTACGAGGCTATCAAAAATAATTGATTAATCCCCTTTACATTACTTTTTTGTGAAATTGAGCCCCCCCCCCCCCCCTCGTAATGCTTAAGCAACACCATGCAGTGTCACACTATTTTAGTCTTCAAAATGCTCAGTGCTGCATAGCTTTCGTAGTATATTGATTATCCTTTCAAATAACTCATAGAGGCGATATGAACCAGTTTGCATCGAAGTTGTATAAGCACTACGGGCCGTTGATTGATGGACTGAATACATTGAACTACACCCGACTAGCAACAGAGTATCGACCAACATACACTTGGATCAAATTTAATTTTGATCAGAAAAGCATGATGAAGGTACGTAATAATAGGACTATGGCGAAAAGAGCGCACTGGTTACGATCGAGACTCAAAATAAATGATTTCTTGATTTTTATTTCAAAGTGTCATATGATGTTCGCCATCGAACAGGTTGTTATATTTTTTTATTTGATTCCAGATTCTTCTTAAAGAATGGTGGATTCGCCATTGGATCCAGAAGATGTAGATAATAAAATTCGATTTACGACCTTTACATGCCCCATTATAATGGATTCTGGGTAATTTCAGAATGTATGGAAAGGAATAATGGACGCCAAATATGACAAGATGGTTAACAATACATACTGGGCAGTAAATTACACACGGGCCAACGAGTTGTTTCCGAAGTAAGAGGCGTTTGATAATATTGTACACACTGGACAATAGAAGTGTCACCCCTACTGAACCAGTACTTTGGGGGAGATAAATGACTGTGGACAATATGCTCCTGGTATCATTTTATTAACCTCAAATTTCACAAAAAAGACCAACAATACAATTCCATAGTACAGCGGTTTTATACTCATTAGTCACATTATAAGTAGACCAGGCATCATAACTTTGATTACTCTGATTCAGGGGGTGACACTACTATTGTCCAGTGTGAAAATAGCAGATACATGTACCCCGGTAATGTCATGAGGGATCGATACGTTATAAAGGCTACACTGTACATGTTCCCAGTACTAGTATGTGCATTTAAGCGTGTGGATAGCTAAATCTATATAAACATAGCGTTTTTGCTCTAAAAGTGCTTATTTTTATTGAATATTTATTTATACTTGAATATTTATATTCATACTTAAATATGTCGTTCACATGAAAGAAACAGGAAAATACTATTTTGCAAAATGTCGACCTTTATAAGGTAATATCACCAATAAAACATGATTAAATGTGACATATAAGCGCTTGTTGAAACCAGTAATGAAGTCATAGCTGCATTATTATAATTGCGATCATACAGACAGAAAGTGATCTTGATACTGGTTTTTCACTCTGTGCTTTTTTATCACCCCATCAGAGGTGCATATTCTCATATCTAAGCTAATATTTAGGCATTATATGGGCAAGATACCATACTTATTTATAACTGTTTTATTAATTGGGCGAATAATTAATTCCACCTTCCCCACTCGTCTCAAATAAACTCCTGAATGAGCCAGATTACTGCAAGTTTCCCACCAGGTATGACAGAGTCAATCGGTATATTTTATTATCATTATTATCATTTTATTTATTTATTTATTTGTTTATTTATATATATATTTATTTATTTATTTATTTATTATTTTTTGCAGAATTAACAGCGATATCAAGCGGGAAGCACAGACCTCTACAACGAAAAAGAGAAAGAAGAAAAACAGAGTTCGCAAAAAGGGCCGGAAATTATATCGTCATTAGATATACATGCATACGTACATGTGTTCATGCACTCTGACTTTTTTCTCCCAGTCTCATAATTTTCGTTGTTAATTTATTGAAAATGCTGCCAAACAAATGGAAAGTAATAAAAGCCCATTAAAAAGTGACTGGTTCACAAAAAGGGGGTATTGAATTCAATACCAGAAAATTATGTGTAATTTGACGCGAGATATATCAGAAGTAGGCTGCTTAAATGTTCACTTTAAACCAACAGATACGTTATTTAAATGGACAGAGTATGAATTTAACCGGGTTAAAGTTAAAATAAAATTGTCAAACAATTATTACACAAAACATATAACCCGAATTATTCTCTGGTAAATGTAACCAATAAACGGGAAGTTTTCATGAATATATAAAAATAGCAGTCCATGTTTCTTTGTTCATTCCGCATGAATCTTTATTTTCTAGCATTGTTTTTTAAGCATTTTTTTTTTTTAATTTTTCGTTATTTCAGATCAAATAAAACCTCAAAAGACAAATTAATTCTTTTCGCCCGTTTTATTTCACTGTCTCAGGTTGACATAATGCTTGGTTTTAATATAATTTATATGGCAAACGCAAGGGAATGTTTCGAAATATTCATATTTTTTCCGTCACTTCAAATCCTTTAAAATATGTATAAGTTGTGACTGGAGTAGCCGCCGACTCTCCGCCGCCGAAGAAAGTAGAGAAATAAATCCCGTCTATTTTCACCGATTCCGTTGTCCTGAAGTTCAACTTGTCAATCTCGTATACTTTCTGCCCATCAAAATATATCTGTAAACAGAAAAATATTTTCATTAACAAATTACAACATGCAAAAATCAATATCGTCAGCACTACCGCACAGCTAAATGCTATTTCACATCATTCAACAGTAAGCGCAGCTTAACACGACACAGCACAACGAAACACAAAACAAAAAAATACCATTAAACACAGAAAAACAGTCTAAGAAAATAGTTTAACCCGGTGTAACAGGAATGCAAGTCCTAGGAATGAAGTCCAGGTTCCCATATGATTAGCACAGGTTAGGGTTAGTTGGAGTATTGGGGTTAGTCATGGACATAATAAGAGAATCTTATTATGTCCATGGGTTAGTATATGGGATGAATGTCACCTGTACAAAGTAATGGGAAGCGGACTACGGTTCCTAGCGGACTTGCATTCCTGTTACACCGGGACTTATTGGAAAAAAAAGAAAAGAAAGTACAACAGCCATCTTCACCCACCTCTGCTCGACCATCATGGACTCCAGGGTTGTTTAGCTGCAGGTACTGACTAAATGTGTTCCAGCGTCCTTTCTGAAACTTAAAACTTCCGCGGCCCAGGGAGTGAGCCCATTGGAAATTGCAAAAGACTCTTTCTTTCGTGCAGAAGTCCTGGGACTGGGGGCTGGGGAGGTAGGCGCTGATTTGTCCGTCGCCGTTCCCGCGCCACGTGACACGTGTCGAGAAGCAGCCAAGAGTAGCCGCGTCCTTGCTTCCAGAGCATGTTTGTCGTCCGCCGTAAAAGCCGGGGAGTTTTCCTCCTTTACTGAAGTCGAAGTCTTGAGGAAAATAAACCTATATGATATGGAAACAAGAGTGAAATTATAGTCGTGTATTGTTCCTTTGAACTATTTATCTATTCGTTTTGTTTACAATTTATCTTTTTGGTTAATTTATTTATTTCCTCATTTATTTAACACTCGGTGTTAATCCATACACTTAAATCATCTAGTCATCAATTTATCAATCTAGTCATTAGTCTATCTAACTTTTACATGGGATGGGGAATCTAGATCATCTCACCTGGTATGTCAACATCAGCGCAGTGCCAGGAGTGAACGGTTGAGAGAAGAACTGTATACCGCCCAGAACAGGGGAAGCCCCAGGTCTGTATGACCCCTGGGGGTACAGCACGCGCAGGACGTACTCATTTCCGCCAGCAGGGTCAAGGACGACCGCAGCGTTTTGATCGTCGTCTTTGATCTGCTGGGCTGGTTGCCAGCCGGCGAGATAATTGTCGTCTGCGGCGTACGGCGCGTGACGCCATAAAACACCTTTGTGTACGAAACAAAAATGGAAGAATTAATTCGTTAAAAAGTGTTAATTTTATCTTTAGTTTTATGGCTTATTTCTTATATTCTCCTGTTTAAATCCACTTTGGAAAACTGGTTGTGGAATACATGACAGATAACCCAGAAAAAAAGTTTTCTCTCCAATGTTTTGTGAGAGACTTGCAGAGATCCAATGCTAGTAAACTCTGACTTTGTCAATGAAAGTTACATTAAGGACATGTAAATCATGGTAGAAACAAGCACGATCGCAATAAATATAAAATAAATAGCGGGAGATCCGAATGGCCATTGAATTACCTGGTTCCGTAGGTGCAACAGTAGTCGGAGTCTCGGTGGAGGGAACTGCAGTGGTGGAGGTCACAGTGGAAGGAGCGTCGGTAGAGGGAGCCACAGTTGAGGGAGCCTCAGTGGAGGGCGCCTCAGTGAGCGGAGATTCAGTTGGTTGCGTTGCACGTAGACTTAGTTGATGGCTCTTTAAAGCTAGTAAAATACATATAAACCACATATAGTCATCACATCATAGCAGGAGGTACCAGCATGCCGTCCATGTAAGAATTATAAAAAAGTAAGGATATTAGATTTTACCACAGTGCTCAAATGCTATGTCTATATGATAATGAGTGTGTAATTGGATGTTGTATGGTTTGAAATATGATTCTGTAAAAAAACAGAGTAAAAATAACTAATTGCAAACTGCAATAAAGCATGTGTTCATAGTGAGGGCCTTACTGCCCACCGCCGCCAAACTGCAGTTCAGTAAACGAGCAAAACTATCTACACCCAAGAAAACACATTCACATAGACACTATTAATAAAAAAAAAAGACACCAACGCTCCTTTTTTTGCCAATAACAACCAAAAACAAATCCACAGTAATAACACTGTACCTGCCACAGCGGACTGGAAGCCGGCATTATAATCCGTGGTCACTTCGTTTGTCCGGTAATTGGTCCTGTCGTCCACGTACTGGTCATTGCCGTCTGGACCTCCGACCAGAGCACCGTTTAACACGTTGGGGTTGGGATCTGGACTGTTGAACGCATCCCAGCTACACACTACGTTAAAATCAGTTGGGCAAGACCTTGAAATTTAAAAAATAGAGGTGTCATTAGATATTTTCAACATAGAAAGTCATTTGTAAGTAGAATATCCAATAAACATTAGAGTCTTTACGACATAATAAATGGAACAATTCATTTGTAAGTGTTACACAATAGGCCTTATTCATGCAATATTTCCTTTAACCTGTCAATCGACCCCTAAGTCATTGGAGTTTGTCTTTTTCATTTGGAATAATAAATTTGAAGTAATCAGAAGAAATACTCACGACGCTCGGTGATGAGGTTTAACAGGAGGATTGACGCCAAAACCAACCACAAAACTCCTCCCAGTGTCCCCAAGCATGTAGTTGATTTGGCCCTCAGCCCACGAACGATAGGTGGCGCTACTGATGCCCAAATCTGCCGCGCGCAGAGCCAGGAATGCAGAATTGGCTGCAACAGTGTTACAATTGTAGAATTATAAATAGCGAAGGGAATAGCTAATAAGGATAATGTCATGACAGGAAGCAATCTGTAAAATTTCACAAAACTTCAGATAAATACGTAAAAATACTTCAAATAATAATTATAATAATTATTATTAAAATTATTATTATAATAACTAATATTATTATTATATAAGATGACTATAACTTTATCAAAACATGAATGTGAACTGTTTGCCATGATTCATTCGGTAGGTCTCCAATAACCTTTTCCAATACATCAAATCATCATTACCATCAGAAAACCTTACCTGCATATCTAAGGGAACCCCACTGGTCTCTGAACGCCAGACCCTTCGGTGTGTAGGGAATCTGTCCACCGGGCATCCAGTAAGTGAGGTAGTCTTCAACATGTTGACGATATTTATCCTCGCTGGTCAACTGATACATCAGGACCTACAGAGAGAATTAGTTCAATTGAAAATTTGTATTTATATTAAATTAATCTAAAGCGAAAGAAAGAAAAGACTGTCGTGCGAGTATACTTGCAATTGGCGCGGTAAACTTAAAACAACATGCCGCTGATGGTTAGAGCCAGAGAACAGTGCACATATAGAGACATTAAGCATCGGAACAGAAGCTTACTTTGGTGCCAGGTCCCTTGTCGTCCCACGAAAATCCCCAATTGGAATATTGGATTCCAAATTCATCGTACCAGGCGGTAGCAGAGGTGAGAAACTCGGCCTCTCCCGTGGCCCTGTACAACCACGCAGCAGCCCACACCAGCTCGTCCTTGAAATCATACGACCTAATGGTAGAAGATATGAGTGGTTCAGTAGACTATAATATCGTATCCTCTACCAGGGCAACAAACTGAATTTTAACTAGATATCCACGGATGTGTATCGAGTTAAATAATGAGACTTTTCTGCATTGGCATCAGAGAAAAGCGCACAGAATAAAATCTGCGGCTCTGGTAGTGGGAAATAAGATTTTGATTCGTTGGGCAATGAGAGAGAGAGAGAGAGAGAGAGAGAGAGAGAGAGAGGGAAAGAGAGAGAGATTTGATCCATACGTGCCAATGTTAACTTCATTAGCAGCACTAAAGTAAATATACAGAGAAAAAACATGTCGCAACTTGCAAGATGACAATGACGGAAATACTTACGGATAGTAGTTGTTAGCATCCGACACGCTGTCACTGTATTTGACTCTATTAGAGGTAGCGGCAAAGGTGTACAGCTTGCGAGCACTGGTTAAGAGGCGGTTGGCAAAGGTGATATCTGTGTGAGACGAATATCAGTATATGTCAGATGGGAGATATAGATGTAGGCCTATTGGTATGGCTGTTTATCATTTTCGAAAGGATAGATTGAAATAAATTCAACATTCAAACATTTAATCCAATGAAGTGTTGAATACATTTGGACAATGAATGTGAAAATATTTTTTTTCAACTAAAAGTTACAACAGTAAATGGAATTTTGTCGCAGAAAGTATAGAAGAGCAATACTTTGAAGAACAAAGTTTGATTACTGCACATAAGAGCTAAACGCATCAATAAGAGAGTAGGCCGTAAGCATTTGTTGCGGCTAAAACATCGCTTTAAGTTATAAATGATTGGAATGGTTCTCACCTTCGTCCTTGAAGGCCAGATACCCGGCGGCCAACGCAGAGGCAGTCTCCGCCGCGGCGTCCGTACCAGGATTAGATGAATCAATCTTGTAAGCTGGTCGATTCTCAGTCCCGTCACTGGGCCTTGTCCAAAGATCGTGGTCCGTCTCACCATGTCCAACCTGAGGTATAGTGTTCAGTTGTTCCATTATTCAGAACCACTAAGGACTATTGTGGCCTTATGTCCCCCGCGGGACGAATAGCAATGATGACTAAGGACTATTACAGCCGTCATCTGAGCTTTTTTTTTAGTTATTTCCAAGAATTACTCGGAACATTTTGTATTTATGGAATAATGGAATGGGATTGTATTAATGGCATTCTGCGATGACTAGTACGTAACTTTGAAATCTATAGTATCACTTATTGATAACCAATTTGTTGATAACAAATTCCTTTAAGACCACAGTTACAACAGCGGACCAACAGATCCGTGGATCAAATATGGCGACCCAGTTAAAAACTAACCATGTAATTCCCTAATAGACACTGAATAGATTCTCCGCGGGCATTATGCACCAATAATTCAAGTGTGTCGGCCATAATTGATCCTAGGATCTGTTAGTCCGCTTCTGTGAATGCGGCGATACCTATGATCATAGAAACTGGCCAATACATGAACTCCCATAGAACATACCTGTACGTAAAGCTCATTATCAGCAGTGTGTGCCTTCAAGAAGTACTCCAATGGCCAACGGATGCAGTCCAGCATGTACTCATACTGACCAGTGGCGTGGTAGGCGTCCGGGTAATCTAGAAGACCCCAGGTAAGAACTGTTGTGCTCCAGGCCATTGGGAAACCGAATTTGACGGTGTCGCCAGCTAGGGAAAATATAGAAAAAGGGTAAATCCATGATATTTGGAAAAGAGAGAAATTCAGAAACTCATCGATGTGATTTATGAGCTGGTAGGTGTAAAATATAATTAACAGTTCTCTTTAAACAAGAAAAACTAAGGCAGTTACCTCAGGCAGAGTTGTGTTGTAGAAATCATTATCTGTGGCCTAAGAAATACAAAAGTTTAGGTGACTGACGTTAGGTGGTGCTAAATTTGCTTAAAAAACGCCAATATGGGCTTTGTGTCTTCTGAAACCTTACCGTCATACCAGCCTCCTGTCAAATCCTCGCCATTATTTCCCAGATCATTAAGATGTGACGATCTTCTCCACGGTATTCTGTTTTCCGCTGGGAGAACTCCTGAACGCTGTGCCTCGTAAAACAAGATGGACTTCTCCAAAACTTCATCCAAGTTGTATTTTGAAGTGCCTTAATATTAAAAAATCAGAGCGTCAAATACTATCATGACTTTGGTATCTATGGCTGCATTTAGAATAGCGGACTAACTAGTCCGCGGGCCAAATATGGCGACCGACTTAAAAGCTTGCTGACTAATCCACTAATAGACACTGAATAGATTCCCCGTAGGGAAGTATTCAAGTGGATCAGCCATATTTGACCCATAGACTAGTTAGTCCCCTGGTCTGAATATGGGATCGCCTCTGTTTTGTTACCTGAAGCACCCGTTACCAACATTATAACACGACATTTGCAATACGTTATTGTATTTGACATAGAGTGGATCAAGAATTTATACCGCTGCCCGCCTCCATAAATTCCAGCAGAGAATATCGAAATGTGTACATGTGTACATCTGATAATCTAATCTACCTATCAATCAACCTACTTTGCGGTGTTGTCGCAGTCGATGGTGTAGATGAGACCGGAGTGGGCGTGGTCGAAGGCGTCACTGTCGTACACACTGTTGAGGGCGTGGTTGGGGCGGGAGGTGTGGGAGGGGCGGTGGTACTTTCACTAGCTGGTGTTGTGCTCGGGCTTTGGGTGGTACACACTGTTGAGGGCGTGGTTGGGGCGGGAGGTGTGGGAGGGGCGGTAGTGCTTTCGGTAGCTGGTGTTGTGCTTGGGCTTTGTGTGGTACATACAGTTGAGGGCGTGGTTGGGGCGGGTGGTGTGGGAGGGGCGGTGGTGCTCTCACTAGCTGGAGTTGTGCTCGGGCTTTGGGTGGTACAAACGGTTGATGGTGTTGTTGGAGGTGGTGGGGTCGGGGGAGCAGTTGTGCTGGGCTCAGTAGGCGTAGTTCCAGCGGGCGTGGTCGTCGGAGTAGGCGTGGTCGTTGGAGTGGGCGTGGTCGTCGGAGTGGGCGTGGTTGTCTCCACAGTGCCACTCCCACACGGAGGATCAAACACTGCAGTGATTGGCTCTACTTGGGACTGCGGGCTGTACCTCACTACGAATCCTATCCCAGAGAGGGTACTACCAGGACTTAGATTGCCATTCCAGCTTAAATTTGATAGTTTATAAACCCTGCTGGATGTTGAACTTGGAACAAAATTGGCGTTCCAAGAATTCTGAAACAAAAAATAAGAATTAACTATAACCACGATGCCCCCCACCCTTTCTATAGCTATTTTTAAAAAGTCTGATTTGGTGACATCTGCCTTAAACAGAAATTTTATTGTCCTAGTATTAAAATTGACATCAAGTTCACGAATGATGTACGTAAATATACCTGGACAAGCCTTTGTCAAAACGCGGCAATTTTAATATCAAAACATTCATCAAGGCACGCACCTCTATATGCGAAATATCATCATTAAATGTGAGAGTGATTGTCCATCCATTGCAAGAGTTGACCACTGGTACTGAAAGTCGAGCTTGCAAAGCTGCCCCCTGGTCATCAGTCCACCGGCTGTCAACAATGACCGAGGCTTGTGCTGCAGGTACCCGTAGCAGTGCCATTAACGACAGAACAGCAAAATGGTGGAGCGACATTCTGAAATTAGACTCGATTTTAGACTGATCCTGTCGCAGAGCAGACGCAGAAAGTATTACGTAAATAAAACTGAATTTTGTAGAGAAGAGTACAATTGAAAATTACTGTAACAAGGTGCATAGATCGCAATTCACAATGACAAAATGACGAAGTAGAATGAGCCTCAACAAAGACGAAAATATGATTAAAGGGAAGCTTATGCCCTTAAGGTAGCAAAACCTCGGTCCCACGTATCAGAGCATCCCCCATGATAGCGATGTCCATTTTTTGGTGGTTCACGCTATCAATAACCTGCTCGAATCTAATGGAGGTCATACTCTGTTTTACAGAAGTTTCTGTACACAGAAAGTCTTTTACGGTGATGGAAAAAATACATACAGCCGTCTTAATCAAAGGTACTATAAAATGAAATTTGTCCCTTGTTAGTTCGTTCCAGCAACTATGTAACATAAGGTAAAAAGATGAAATAATGAAACAAATCGAGGTTAGAGAAAGGGAAATAAGACGGTGCCACAATAGGAACTTCGTGATGCCCTATTGTTACAAAATATGCACCCTTTTTCACGCTTCCGCACTATGTCAACTACGTGATCCCTGTTCACAATTATATGGCTTATATGATGCCTTTTTGTTGATCAGCGACCCTGGCGTGTCAAATTCGTTTTTATCTCCATATAGTGTCGCTTAGCAGAAGTGCGCTTATAAGTCACGACGGGGCCTGAGCCAGGTTTAACAAAAGTCTAATATTATTTTGGTAGAGTTGAGGCAAAAAAAGTGCTACTATCCGATAGCCGTCTACGTAAAGTCGACTAAGTTGTCCAGACCAGTGGCGGATTTTGGGCTGTTGGGGGGGGGGGGGGGGGGGAGCTGACCTTCATTCAGTTCTGAAAAAATTTTAATTTAGACTAGCTGAATAATAGTTCTAAACCCTACCAAATGGCAACGTTCGCCCTTCAAAACACCTAATCTTTTTTGGGCCCTTCAGATGGCCACACACCCCATGCCAAGGGGGAGTGAGTCGCCTTCATATCCGAGGCCTGTGATTCCTAAAAAAGGGACCCCCCCCCTTCAAATAATCCTGGATCCGCCCCTGAAGACTATAGACATTTACTCCACAAACTTCGATGAAAGATCACAAACGGGAGTATTTAGCCCTTACAGTTTCTGAGTGAAACTCAACTTAGTTGGCTACGCCTTTTTGTCAATTTTTTCGATGATATGTATCAGGCACAATACAATTTCTGCAACATTCCCTAACAAAGTTTTGTACATGTGGTCTAGACCTTAACTTTTATCGGTAAACCACTCGTAGCACCGATAGACATCGGAAATCTGGCAGTCCGAATAAAATTTTTACTGGGCCGAAGACAAATTGTGTAATAACATAAAACTGATAAAAAACGGCTTAAAGTTGCCCTCAGTCTCATTGGCCAAGTAGTTAACACAAAAAACTACTACTTTGGTCAGACCTCCGAGTATTTTGCCTCGGACTAAACTCGAGCAAAGCTGGGTAATGTCGTATATGCAAAACCTCATCAAGCCCATGGTTTCCTTATACAAAAACATTTTTATATTTAATAAAAGACGTATACTATTACTGATAATTACAGATCATAAATTCAGCTCTTACCTTATTTTTCCAAAGAAATGCTCTCCAGTTTGGGAAACTTCTCGATTGATACTCCGCTTCGCTAATAGTTAACAGAGATCGTCTTTACATACGTGGAACGAATATTATATGATATATGATAATGATTATAGTTTATGAACTAATAATATTCGCCCTGGATGACTCCGTATAAAAAAAATTGGCCTTACGGAAATTGCTTATTTTTGCAATCCCAATTCACAGGAAAGGTGTCATTAAACTTTTGGCCCGGACATACGAATATATATATATACAATCCAGCTTGTCATCCACTATGAATAATAACTTCACGGTGGTATTGGCGCTCCCTTTAATTCCTTCCTTTTTAAGCGTACAGCGCGCCACTTAATATATACTAGTAGCTGTGCACAATAACTTGTCTCTTCTTAAAATGAACTAGTAAAAGTGTCAGCCGAAAGTTATTTTATACCACATACGCGGGTCTAACGATTAAAATGAGCGTGCGCTTGCGCTCAATTATCCTACAGCTAAATTGTCACCGCATTAGACTCGGCTTAGAAAATCGTGACGTGTATGAGATGACGTTAGAGGCCTTCTATTTCACGCCGCAGCGCTCGCTTACAAAGTGTACATAAAAAGAGAAAGGCAGCATCATCTTCCGCGTCGCTGCTTATCGTTATATCTGTCATGCTGTAAGTGAGGGACTTGTGGACGGTTTTCTGATGATTTATATGTATGAAATGTTTTTATGGACAAATTTATTATGAGGCGCGGTAGCGCATATCGGTACAATGGAAATGTGACGACGCTACTGACCCGCTCTTATTCGCTGCATGCTGTCACTTACTAACATTACAGAAAGACAACTGGTGGTATTGGCAAATAAGTATACAATGAGGAAGAAACATATTTTAAATAGTCTTGGTAATTATTTATAGCCTCTGGGTTGTATCCACGTAAAGACATAGGCCCGTAGACTATTGGGATGGGAGAGGGGGGGGGTGGTAGAAAGAACCCAACTTTTGCCCCTATAGCGCTAAAATGGAACGAAAAATCGTTGCTACACGATTTAATTTCCATGTGCAACTGCCTGCACCATATGGGCAATAATGACACCCTCGGCGCCCCCTTTTCTTCCCCATTTCAACCCTCATGTTGACTCTGATTACACCGGCATTTGCGACACAGATTTACGATTACATCATCAACACAGCTACCACGTCCAGGCGAGCGGTCAGCTGGAAATAATGACCAGCGGCTGTGACGTCAGAGGGAAGACCTTGGGGCTCTTACGCACGGGTCTGGGTAATGATAACACGTTCATTTCGAGGCCGACTGAGTTTGGATATATCCGTTTGGTTCAGCCAAGGAGTTATAACAGAAGGAGATTAC